TCCTTAGAAAACAAAACAAAAGCAGCAAGGAAATTCACATTGCACAGTTATTGTTAATTATAATTATAATTAGTTTTTATAGGCTTGATTTTGTAGTTTTAAAGATAAAATCTTTTAAAAATGTGAATATTGTGTTTTTTTAAAGCAGTCCGGGAAGTAAAAATTTTCCGGACTCAGTACTGCAATGAGTTATTTCCGGGACTTAAATGAGTCCAGGAAATAACTCATTACAGTACAGTATGAAATAAAAAATATTACAAGTAAATAATTTTACTAAACCAATATTTGATTAATTCTTGTAATAGACATTTATTATACAACTTTAAATTTTTCGTTGTGTTGATATCCATAAAAAAAACTACCTACCTCTGATCACAACAAACTTTCAGACATTTTTTATTAAAAAAAAACAAAAAACAAAACATTAAATAAATATGTTTATAAGTTCGCCTTGTTTACCTATATACATTTTCACTCTGATTACAAAGATTCTGCACCCTCTTTTGCATATTTGTTTAGCATATTTCTCTCAACTTTGTATTTATAGTCTGAATTTTTAATGTAAGTTAATTTGAGGTATATAACGAGCGTTCAAATAAAAACGTGGTCGAAGTTGGCTCTGACACATTGGACGTAGGGAGTAGCTTATAGCGACCAACTTAACCTCATTTCTCAACGAGCTGTATAGCAGCTGTCAGTTTCAATAACGTTAATGTTAAATTAACTTAAACTATAACTTTATTTTAAAGAATAATCGTGATAACAATAACAAACAATTAAAGGAACTGCGGAAAGTGTCCCCCTCCTTGTTATAACAATAAATTAAAGCAAACGCTGAAAGTGTCCCCCTCCTTGTTCCAAGCACTTTTCACACCTGTTCCTCAAAGAATTAATCTTGTCTATAAGTCGAGCCTGCAGATGGTTTAAATCAGGAATAGGCAGTTCAAAAATAAGGTTTATAAGGTAAGGCCACAAAAAGAAATCACACGGCGTAATATCACATCGGTGGAAATTCATGTTCAGCATTTAGACTTATTAGTCGATTTTGGAAAACTTCCCTCAACATATTCATCGTCTCGCCTGCCGTATGTGCCCTTGCGCCATCTTGTTGAAAGTAAAAGTTTGTAATTTCGTTTTCTTCCAGCTGGTTAATAAAAGGAGCGATAATTTCTTCTCTATACCTTTGCGCAGTAAGAGTACCATTAAAAAAAATAGTCCATAAATCCTCCTTCGATTGAGAGCACACCAAACTCCAATTTTTTGAGCGTGTAGAGGGCCCTCGACAAAAAAGTTATCTGGTTTTTCAGAAGACCACATTCTCATATTCTGTGAGTTTACGTAACCACTTAAATGAAACCAGGCTTCATCAGAAAAAAAGGTGATATTATGAAGTTCACCGTAGTTGTTTAAAAACCATTCACAAAATACAGCCCGTCGCGGAAAATCAACTTCATGAAGTTCTTGCTGACAAGTTAAACGATAGGAGAACAAACGCAAATCTTTTTTTAACACTGTGTGGCAGGTACCGACTGATACTCCCACCATTTGTGATAAAACACGTACAGAAGTTCTTGGCGCATTTTCCATTATTTGTTGGACATTTTCTTTTAATTCTTCAGTCCGCTTTTTAGGTCGGCCGCTTCCTTCTTTTCTTCTTACACTGCCCGTTTCACGAAAAACATTAACACAATGCTGAACTGCACTGAAAAATTTTGTATTCAACAACGCCGGGAAATTGATTTTGAAATTCTATGAAACATTCCTCAATAGAATACTTCCGTATTCCATCAATCTTGCGTCCATTTCTAAAGTAGGACTCTATGATAAACACTTTTTGTTCTTGAGAAAACACCATTTTAAACGCTTTTTAAAACGAAAATATTCAAATTGATAGCGGCGATATAGCGCTTTGACAGATGACGTTTAAGTTCATTTGCTAAACGCTACGCCCTACGTCCAAATTTTCAGAACCAACTTGACCACGTTTTTATTTGAACGCTCGTTAGTAACAATTAGTGACAAAAATTTTTTTTTCAACCCCCGACCAAGGGTGATAAAATATAAAATATAGGGGTTTTTCATGATAACTCAAAAGGGGTAAGAGTTAGAAAAAAAAGTTTGTTATACAAGTTGTAGAGTATAAAATTCTACATAAAAATAGTCTATTCAGTTTTTCTTAAAATTAACAGAGTTAGGGAAACTAGAAGTTAAGGTATGATTTCAGAAATTAAAAAAATCATAAGCAGAAAAATAAATGATTTTTATAATTTTTTTTCAATCTACTCTAAAAAATGTAAACTATCTTTTCAGATATATATTTTTAAATTTTTAATAAAATAGTTATATCAATTTCACAAAGCGAATTTTTTACCTTTGTTGTAAAACAAAATTTCGAAAGCAACTTTTCATGTTATAAATAATCAATTGAATGGCATAGAAAAAAATAGTTTGTGTTAAATCATAAAAATTAATGGCAAAAAAATTGAAATTAAATACTTTTTTTTATTAAAAATTAAAAAATATATCTACTTCTCTGAAAAGAAAGTTTACACTTTTTAGAGGATTGAAAAAAAAAATTATAAAATTCATTCATTTTTGTTGATTTTTTTAAATATCTGAAATCATCTCTTAACTTCTAGCCACCCTAACTGTTAATTTTAACAGTACAAGAAAAAGTCAATAGACCATTTTTATGTAGAATTTTATGTTCTACCACTTTTATAAGAAACTTTTTTTCTAGCTCTTACCCCTTTGGAGTTATCTTGAAAAACCCCTGTATTTTATCTTTTTCCACCCCTGGTCGGGAGTTGAAAAAAAAATTACTGTCGCTTATTGTTAGTATATACCTCAAACTAACTTATATAAAAAATTCAGGTAAGTTGAAATTTTGATATTTCAGCTTATCTTGACCACCCACAGATAATAGAATCTTGACATAAGATAAATTGCAAAAATGAGAAAAATCTTGTGCATCATTGGTTATATAAGCTAGCTACACTTGTTATATAAAGTAAATATACTCGATGATATCATGTTTGGTTAAAAAAAAAAAATAGTATTCAATATTTTTAGGAAGCCCTAATATAAACATTCTCCGTTGTAGGAACTTTCATTCCAACTCTCATACAACACATCTGTGCACATTCATCTTTTAGCAATATTACACAATACATAAATACAGATATAGGTAAGTACTAATTAGGACAAATAAGAACTAGTGCAACACGAAGTTAGTAACTGTTTTTCATTTCACTCAATACCACCAGCATTTATTCTTCTGGTATGGATCATTCTTCAATTTCAGAATCAGATGAAAATTTCTATGATTGATTTGGTTTAATAAGTATATATAGAACATGTAAACCTGATTTTCATTCCTTTGCAGCTAATTCATTATCCTTGCGCATCATAAATATACCTTTAAAATCTTTTTTGAAAAATGCTTACTGCAAAGTTTGATCATTTTTGACCAAATTTTGAACAGTATTCGAGAGATGAAAGTTATAAACATATCCAGAATTGAAAGAGGAAGACCAGAGTTTTTCCCTTTTTTTACTGAGACCATCAATTCTGTCAAAACTGGCCATGTCGAAAATTTGAAAAATGAACCAAAAAATTTTGAGAAAATCTGACATGATCTCTAGCAAACTCTAGAGCCCGGGACAGACGCTCCGTTATGCACACCAACTTACTTGCACAAACTTAAATTGTATGGCAAGACTAAATCGTCATTTGACCTCTAACTATTCAGTTTTGTTGCATCAATTTGCATTCAGTTATAAAAATCAATATGGCTGATGAGCTGTTATTGTGTGTGACTACTCTTGCCGTTGTAGCAAGAAAAAAGAAAATAAATACAGGAAAACATTCCAAGACCATAGACTTGGGTTATACACATCTTCTGCATCCATGCCAGAGTGCAATTTCCTAATTTTCGTACTCTTTTTGAAAACAAGTGCGCAATGAATTGATTCTTTTTATTACCGCATCTTTATTGGCTGAGGGATCTACCTTTTTTAACTTTTCTATTAGTATCTCATACACAGCATTTTTTTTGTCTCTCTGAATACTCTTTGGATTTTACCAATTAAAGGCATGGATTTTCCTTGTATAGAAGAAGACTACATATAAGTTGCAAGAACCACAAGACATTACAACTAGCCATTAGACAAGTCTGTACACACAGCAAAAATATCTGGCAGGTTTGATTTCACTCAAGTCCAACAATTGTCTGTACAGATTAAATAAGTCTGCCAACTTATCAGCACTAACGCAACGATAAATCGTACAACTTAAGTTTGCACAAGCAAATTGATGTGCATGACGAAACATCTATCCCATGCTTAAGGCTTTTTTGTTTCTTGAGATTTTCCATGAAAACCCTCTGTTTTCAAGTAAAACCATTGTAAAATCAGCCACCATTTTGACTCATCAAGTGACTAAATCCACGTCATGGATTATTTAAGTTGAGTAATTTTATGCAACGTTTACATTGGTTTAAGGCATGTACCTTAGGGATAAAGTCTTCAAAACACAGTATAAAGATTGGAAATTGTAAAAAAATTGCTGTTTGGATTAGAAGTTTGGCGGGCTGAATTTTTTTTTTTAAATTCTATGGGCACCATCTGAAAGAGCATTTCAAAAAACGTAGTCTAGTAGAATTGATTTGATTCTTTGCCTGGGAGCAATGGTGCCCTTAGATTAAAGATACCTACCTCGAAAATCCGATTTTGAGCATTAATGTGTTAACCGAGACACAAAGCCCCTAACGACTAATACATTTCAGACACCCTTATTTGACTATTGACAACAAACTTTTTTTTTAAATCAAATTGTACTTTGTGCACAATGTAATTATGAAACCACTGAAGATTTAATATTGTTTTAATTTCTTACTTATATACAAGTAATTATTACATTGAGACATTTTATTAAAAGAAATAGATGTTCTTATTTCATAAAAGAAAGATTGGACAAAACAAAAACGATGTAAGGTGAAATGCGAATTTAATGATTTAAATACAATATATCAGATAAAGGAATATATAATTCAACATTAACAATTATTATTTAAAACTAAATCTTTAATCTCAGGTCATTGGAGGTGCTTCACTAAAATAGGGTGCAGATGATTTGACTAGTAAGGTGTGACAAACATCACAAACCTTTGATGGACGACTATTAGGACCAGACAATACTGTCCGAGAAAGACAGGGCTGACAGAATATTTGACCACAATGTCTACAATGCTGCTTACGTTTTGAAGAGGAAAAACCAGAGTGACATGTTGGGCACTCTTCAACATCTTCTTCATGTTGCCATCGAACCTGAGTATCAGATTCCCGAATTTTTTCTAATTGTACCTACACATAGTTATAAAAATAAATGCAATGTAATAACAAAATACTTAGTTATGTAATTAGTGCAAAAATAAATGTTTTTAGCATTTGACGTAAGCCAATAAAGTTCGAAAATCATGAGTTTTGCATGACTACAATATTTTTTCTGCAATACTCTTTTAGTGTGACATAACATATTTAGGCAACACGCAACAAATTGTCATAGTTGAAATTGTACAGACCGAATCTGACCCTTGTGTACTATTTACATAGATATTATAAAAATTAACTTCAAATTAACTTATTTCTACAAGGATTTGGAAGTATTTAAAAACAACCAACACATGTTTCGTAAAATAGATAGACTAATGTGTTTAAAACTTACAAAAAACAATATAAAAGAATATTCCTAAATTTAAATAAAGTAAAAATTTAACATTAGCCTTGTTATATTCCCAATGCTCATGCTCGGAATGAATAGCCTTATACGCAGGTGAGATCTTGTCTATATGTTATCGCTGTCATCATTAGCGTATTTTCTCTTGTTTTGTTTAATCTTGGCATTTTCTAGTTCTACTAAGTGTTTTTATTGTTTTTCTTGATGTTGTACTGTGTCAGTGTGTTTATCAAGTGTTTTTTCTTCAAGTGGTTTATTATACAGGTTCGGAAAGTACCGATGGTCCATCTGCCGTTACATGAGAGCGATAAAGTAAGACATAGAAATCCATGCGATAGAGAAGGATGGCTATAATGAAGGCGTTTCATAGTCACCGCCCGTTTGGCCCTTCCACAAATAAGATCCACTTCTTATTTGACGAAGGGCGAAATGGGCGGTGACTATTAGACGCCTTCATTATAGCCATCTTTCTCTATCGCACGGATTTCTATGACTTACTTTATCGCTCTCACGTAACGGCAGATGGACCATCGGTACTTTCCGACCCTGTAGACGTGCTCTTAACCACAACCAAACCTTTCTTGAATGATATCCTGTTGCGAGGCTATTTCGCTTACATGAAATTAACTTTAATGTGCATGTTCAGTAACAGATTGCCAGAATATCGCGATATTTAAGGTAATGTCAAAGAAGCAATTTTTTTGGCACTTATGTCCAAAGTACATAAGGTCGAAAATCGATATAGTAAAAATATTGAGAAATTCTTCATGACAATGTGCACTAGGGGGTTGCCCATTATTTGGCATATGTGATGTCACTACTAAAAAGGTCGATTGTTTTGTAACATGTTTGATGCCAATGGATGCTTATAAACTACTGCAGTATCTCGAGCATAGACGTAACGGTTTGTTCGTTGTTAATGAATCAGTAATATTGGTGACGATAAGATTTAAAGATTTTTATTTGGCAGTACCATTCGTGCAATGTTGGTTGCCTACGCTCGGCAGTCACGTGGCTTGTAATCATTTATGAAGGCTCTGTACAACTTCTGTACTACGAATACGTTAATCCAAAATCATTGTAGTCAGAATTGGTTTAGTTTCTCGATAATATGAAAAATTGTAAATCTAAGTGCTCTGTTCCAAAACTATCCAGATGAATGAACGTTTAAAAAAGACCTTATCAACAGGTTATCTTAAGTATTTTCTTTTTTAAGTTTTCATTAACAAACTGTAGAAGCTTGACAGTTGATTTATAGGCTGTTTGTATTATTACTAACCTGTAAGCTTTGGGACAACCTTACGAAATCTTTTTGAACAGTTTCAGTGGTGTCTAATTCTTGCTGGAGTGAACACACCCTCGTTTTCAATTCACTATTCTGCTTCTCCAATGTTTTCTGAAAATAGTAAAACAAATAATGTATTTTAAAAATTCCATATGTTTTAAGAATTTTAAACAATATATTACTCTCCGAGAAAATATACTTTTAATCTTGAGGAAAGTAGAAAGCTATAGATTTTTTCTGTTTGGTTTTGAATTTCAAAGAAATTTGTAACTAATAATTTACAAAAAAAATGATGAAACAATTACCGAAGAGTATGAAAAGTAGTTAATTTCTATTAATTCTTGAGAAAAAATAGGAAGCACAAAATTATACTGAAAATGTATCGGAAAGTTTTCTTAAGAAATTAGATATAATTTGTTTTTTCCTGGAATAAAAATGATAAGTAAAGCTGTCATAATTGGCCGTGCACCAATGGGGTGCGGATCGTCAACAAAATAAAGTGAACAATGATTATAACATTTATCATTGTAAAACACGTAAATTGTTTTACACATCTTTGACTAATGATGTAATATTTCCATAATTAAATAATCTACTTCCAAGATGATCCGACATAGTAATTTCCACTCGGGGTTGTATGGATGTACGGTTGTTGTGTGGATGTTTCATTATTAACTATATCAAATGGTAGGCTACATGCAATCAGTATGAAGATACAAACATAAATTGAGTCAGAAGGTTTACGCGTTTTTTTATATGTGTGTAATTTTTTTTTTTTGTAGTCAGTATAGTATAAATTGTTTGCTGACTTTTAGCTATGCTCGATATAATTACATACAATTATTCATTAAAAGACAACTAAAATCGTAAAAGAAATTGTTCACATCATGTTAATATACTGTTGTCTTTGTTATCGTGTGGATGTTGCATAATTAATTCCTATCTGTTGGTGTTTATGGTGGTGTATTGCAAACAATGTTCTGTGGCTCAGTTCTGACAGCACTACTGATAAGTAACATTTATTTATAGTACCTAGCCTTATATAAATTGAAATGTCAGTATGTGTAAAACCAGACATATTTGAAATATATGGATATTAATTTATTTTCATCGAGGTCAAAAAATTTATGGAATACAAAATTATATATGTGCATAAAAACATTTTCATGACAGTTTTTTACTTACAATTGTTTCATTCAGTTCTTCCAGTTTTTCATTTTGTTCCCGAAGCACCTGCTGATTGGCCTTTTCTGAATGTAATAATTTCTCTTGATTTATTATAAATCGTTTCTTTTCCTTCTCTAACTGATCAATATATTTCCTAAAGTAAAAAAGTTGATACAGCTTAAGAAAATGCACAAATTTTAAGAGGATATTCAAGCAAATATATGCAAAAGAGTTTATATAAACCATGATTTAGAAATGTACTGTTTCCAAGATGTGTATTGCAGTGGCGGCTTATCGGGTGACGCAAATGACACATCGCTTCACCTAAAATTTCCGTTTGGTTGTGCAATTTAAAATTATTTTTAATTTTATGTAAATTTTATAATTTATGTATAATTCTATATTGAAAATGTATTGTGTGTGTTTGTTTAATACGCACAAATAAACAGAATAGTTGCGCGGTAAACGCCTTCTATAGAAACATTGCCTTCATTGAGCTCGAACATCAACCTCGGACCGTACAACGTATAGTATACGCAAGTGACGCAGATTGAAATTAGTTGTACTCTGCTTCTCTTCGTAGCGTTGTTTACGGCGGTTGTCATGACAACAAAGTACGGCATGGGGGAACGAGTGACGCAGAAATAGAAGCAGCATCCAGCCCAACATCGCCCATCGCCTGCCTGCCAGTAGTGCCACTAGTGCCAGTGCCTTTAACAGTTTATACGATACGTGTCGCCCAATGCACGATTATAATGGTTCTTTGTTAATATTTGTTTTGTATAATAATTGTAAAAATGTTTCCTATGTATGATCCAGCATGTATTTTATTGAAAATGCCATTTTCCAGATGGAAAATTGAGGACAAAAAGGATTTCTTATATTGCGAGAGACCTGTGCTTTATTTTCTCGATATGGAAAAAAGGGGAAGTCAAAAGACAACGTGTACGTTCGAAAGTTTCGGAATGAATGGTATTCGGAGTGTAAGTGGTTGTGTGGAAGTGTTCATTTAAAAAAAACTTTTTTGTACGTCATGTTTAATTGTGGGTGTAAAGTCCGGCGTGTGGAATAAGGGGAGATTTAACAATTTTGGGAGTCACGTGAGGCTGTCGTAACAACAAAGCTTCTTTGGAACATACATGTACGGTGTGCGTTAATGTTCGCAGAAGTCCACAAGCCAAACTATTTTATAAAATCTAAATGAAAATCCTTCTCACAAACGTCAGTTTTTCGGTAATATTACAAATGCAATTAAAAATTTCCAGATTCATTTAAAGCTGTTTGACCTTGAAAATATGAAAATTTTCACCAGCGGCGCTTTTTTTTTTCTTTTTAGTCAATGAATGAATATGCTTCACCTATTCTCAATGTCACGAGCCACCATTGGTGTATTGTCAAATTTTTTCAATCTATTATTTTTTAAATATTTCAGCTTCACAAAATTTGATATACGAGGGTGGTCCCAGAAGTACCCGGCCTGACCTAGAGATGGCGGTAGTTGTTTGAAAAATATCACTGTATTAGGAAGTACACAATCTATAAAGCATATGTTTCAAGTTTGAAGACGCCATGTTGTTTAGTATTTGTTTGACAGCCATCAATAGTGAACGTTTTCAGTGAATTTGTGAAAATAGAGACAAATTCACCAGCTCACACATCCGTTATTGCAATGACCAAAATTAATGAATTAAAGTTTGAATTGCTACATCATGCACCCTATTCGCCAGATTTAGCCGGATTATTTTCTGTCCCTAAACTTGAAAAAATGGCTCAGTGGTCAAAGATTTTCCAACGATAAAGAAGTGATGTCGGCAGTTAATGGCTATTTTGAGGAGCAAGACAGTTCTTATTATAAAAAGGGTATCGAACTTATTGAACATCGCTGAGAAAAGTATATAGAGCTGAAAGGAGATTATGTTGAAAACTAAATATATTTTTTTCCAAAATTTTTGTGTTTTCTTTGTTGGGTCGGGTACTTCTGGGACCACCTTCGTAGTCATACTTACATTTACTATTTACAAAGCTGAGGTAGTAAATTCCGCATTTCAATTATCAGTGCCATAGATATAGGGGCAACTCCTTTTGCAAAATGTAACTATGCCTACGATTTTTTTATAATATGCAATTTACTTCAAAGTCTACGAATACATGAACATTTAATAAGAATAATTAATTTGTAAATGCTTTGCATTAACACAGTGGCGGCTCATCGTATGAAGAAACTGAGGCTGGGCCTCACTGTAAAATTTGGCTCTCACACCATATATTTTAATACCTACTATTCTACTATTAACCTAAATAAACAGTTAAGTAAACTAATTTCCAATTACCTATTACATTTGTTAAGTCAAAATAACAGTATAAAATAATTGTTTGAATATTAAATATCTCACCACACGCCGTTTCCATCGGCACTAGTCTCCACCTGGTGGGGCCCATCACAGTGAGGCCAGAATTTCTTTGCTTGTAGGCGCATCACACTTGCCTACAATATACTACAGTTCCCCCTCCACGCGAGGCAGTTAAAATAACATGATTTATGGGGGAATTCAGGCCCGCTTAAAGTGGCTTGTAGTTTCAGTTCGCGGTTAATGTATGCGCCGCATAGTATGCAGGTAGTGTCTGATATCAGTGTGAAGGATAATACAAAGTAAGACTAAATTTAACGTAATTTAGTAGATACCTATTATATTATCAATATAGGTAGGTAATACTGAATCGCTCTCATGATATTTTTTATCTCTTGAAACGCCTCTTTCAAGATGTGATGACGTAAACTACTGCTCTAAACAGATTTAAAAACCACTAATACAATTTTTAAAGTTCTGATATTATTATTAATATAATTTTTTAATTTACAGTTATAGTAAGGCTATTGGCGAAGATCTCCATAATAAAAAATTACGTGGAAATTTATTCCTATTTATTAGTTGGGAGCGGATTAATAAAATAGTTTTCCATAATATTATAAATGCAACTAAAAATTTCCAATGCATTTAGTCATTTGACCTTGAAAATTAAAAAATTTTTTTATTCTTTCTTCCGCCTAGTAGAAAAAGCCATGGGCCTCACCTATTCACAATGTCACGATCCGCCACTCCATTAACAGCATGCACAAACATTTCAAAACCAATTATAAACATAGATTTTACGCTTCATGAAAGTGAAGGTGTCAAAGTGCATATGGTTTCATCTTAAATTTTAGAAAAAAATTATAGACTTAATTTGAATTCCTATACAAATTTGTGATTATGGATTGCTTGATCCGATTTTAACAGGGTATATTAACTATGTGCAATTAAGTCATGTTCTATAACCGCAATAAGAAAACTAAGAACATAACGTTCATGATTAAACTATCTATTAATATTAATAATTAAAAATGAAACTGATTTTTGTACTTTTTCTTTTCTTTCAGTTTTTTTCTCTCCTTTTCAAATTTAAAATTTTTATTCAATATGTTATATTATCTCACATGGCAATTTATTTACATTTATTTGTTAAACGTAACTTTATTACTTCCTGATTGTAACTTTTGGTTGTCGGAGGGTTAGAAATGCGTATTATAGGGATGAATAACAACTACATACATTTTTCGCATTTAAACATACATTCATTATGTGCTAAATTTTCTTTTATTTCAGAATTTGTTTTAAGCGAATCTTATGATATAGTGGGGCTATCAGAAACATGGCTTGACTCAGCGATACCTGACTATGGATTAACTATTCCGAGTTACAAAATCATACGAAGTGATAGAGGCAGTAAGGGAGGTGGTGTTGCTTTTTATGTCAAAGCGTCTGTCAAGACTAAAGTAATAAAAATTCCAGAAAATAATTTTGTAGAGCAATTGTGGATATCATCCAAAATATCAGGTAAGAGCGTCTGTTTCAGAACAGTATATAGGCCGCCACATAATAATTTGCAGTCGTGTCTAGAAGAGATTGAAAATGTCATAGTTCCTGTACTTCCAGTTTATGATTATGTTTTTATTGGAGGTGACTTTAATATTAACATGCTTGAAAATCACACATTAATGTCTAGTTTTCTAAATAAATATAATCTGTCACAAATTATCTCTGAACCGACACATATAGGTATAATTGTTAATAACACTGATCTAATTTCTGACTCTCATGTAATAAAAATATCAGGTATTTCCGACCACTCACTTGTGACACATAAAATTAAACTGAAAAAGGACAAGAAAAAACCAACATTACGTACTTATAGAGATTTTTCCAATTTCTCATACAATAACTTTCTTACTGATTTATTAAGTAGTAACTGGGATGATATTTACTCTTTTAATTCAGCCAATGAAATGATTTTCTTCATAAATAGTCAATGCAACAGCCTGCTTGACAAACATGCTCCTTATAGAACATCCAGATTCACTAAACCACCTGCTCCATGACTTAACAAGTAGTTTAAAAAAAATCATGAAACTTAGAGATAGAGCTCTAATTAAATATAAACAAAATAAACCTGAACAAAATTGGACAGAGTATAAAGAAATGCGTAATTTTGTAAACAGATCTGTTAAGGTTGAAAAAAGGCATATCTGCAGCATAAATTTAAGACTGATCCAAAAAGTTTTTGGGCCTCAATGAAACATTTAAATCTTAAAAATAAAAACTTACTATGTCCCTTTGAAGATGTAAATACAATTAATAAATTTTTCATAAATATTATACCAAATCTATCGGATAATTTAGATCCTAATATAAAAAATTTTCTAGATAAGTATAAAACAAGACACACCAATGTCATTGAGTGTTTCGAATTTAGTCAAGTGGACAGTGTAAGGGTGAATACTATTATAAGTAAGCTACAGTCTAACGCTAAAGGCGTAGACGGTATGAATGTAAAAATGTTAGAGCTATTTTTTCCGCATATATCTGATTATTTTACTTTCACAATTAACAAATGTTTGTCTTCTGGTGAATTTCCTGATATCTGGAAGGATGCTAATATACATTCTATACCTAAAACTTGCAGTTCATCGGATTTAGTTGACTTTAGACCAATCAGCATACTACCAATTCTGTCTAAGGTTTTAGAAAAAATTATATTTGAGCAATTTAATAATTTTCTTACAAAGAATAAACTGGTACCTTCCCATCAATCTGGGTTTCGGGAGCATCACAGCAC